CGGGGCGTTCCGCGTGGGGGAGCTACTGAGTGCCAGTAGGGTTGTGCCCGGGGGTCCGTGTTTTGCAGGGTAAAGTGGTTGTGCATCTGGGTAAATCAAAAACGGATGTCCGCGGCGTGGGTCGGGACGTAACACTATGGGCCCTGCCGGGTGCGGTATTGTGCCCGGTGGCTGCAGTGGCGGAGTACATGGCCCGGAGGCCGGCGGTAGGGGGTTCTTTGTTGGTGCATGCGGATGGTTCTTCCCTGTCATGATTCCAGTTTACGAAGGTTTTTCGGTCGGGTCTAGGTAAGTTGGGGCTTCCGGCCGGGCGTTTTGGTACTCACTCCTTTCGCATTGGGGCAGCCACAGAGGCCGCACAGTTGGGACTAGGAGATGAGGTCGTGAAGCGCATAGGGAGATGGGAGTCGGTGCGGTTCCGTTCATATGTACGGTTGGGCTTATTGGAATAAAAAAAAAAAAAGTGTGTGTACATATATGTGTATATATATATATATATATATATGTATAGATAAGGTACGGGGGAGGGCATGAAAGGGGGAGTTTCCCTTTGCCTTTTCCCTCACGCTTGTTTTCTTCTTCTCCCCAGGACGGGTTGCTTGGATTGTAGGACATTCTTTTGTCTTCTGGGCCGAGAGGAGGGCCGCAGCTCGAACGCAGGGCCAGCAGCTGGGTTTTCCGAGGGACCAGTTGGCAGTCCGATGGTTCGGGTACCGGGGATTTTGCTGGGGGGAGGTTTGTGGGGCAATGTTTAGGATGGTTGCGGGCGGGAAAACGCCGGACATGGTGGTCCTTCATGCCGGGGGTAACAACTTGGGCCTTACGCCGCAACGACGGTTGATGAAATGGATGAAGCAGGACATCAACAGACTGAGGGACCTGCTTCCGGGGGTTATGTTAGTGTGGTCGGAGATTGTCCCAAGGCGTCGGTGGCGGCACGCGCGGGATCCGGCGGCTATCAATCAGTGCAGGAAAAAAGTGAACAGCTTGATGGCAAGCTTTGTTAGGAAGGTGGGGGGCGTGGTGGTACGGCATAGCGAGTTGGAAGATGGGTTGCCGGGGTACTACCGCTCGGATGGGGTTCATCTTTCGTAGGTGGGTTGGGATCTGCTAAACTTGGGTTGGCAGGATGGTATGCAGCGGGCGCTATTTCTTCGGAGTGGCGGAGCTCAGATGGCTTAAGGGGTCAAGGTCTGAGCTTATGGCGGGATGGGGAGCTGAAGGAAAGGAAATAGGCTCCCCAGGATGAACGTAATGGAAAACAAACAAGTGGTGGTCATCGGTGGTTGATAGGTTTCGAGTCCTGTCGGTGGCTCAGAACCTGGTGGGGTAGGGGTATCCGGGTATACCCCTGCCGTGGCTAATGGATGGTTGGCACTTTACATTGATTGGAATAATGTTGATGTATGTTATATTATATATGTTTATTGACATGGGGGTCATTGCCCTTTATATGTTAATGGAAGGAATGGGATGCGAGGACGGAGTATGGAGGGCAATGAACCATGTTTTACTTGTTAAGTTATTATTATTATTATTATTGTTATTATTATTATTGTTTGCCTAAATAAAGCTGTGGACAAATTTCCCCATATCCCCTAGTGTCCGTGCGTTATTGGGTTAGGTTATGGGGTAATTGTCCTGGATTCCGACTGCCCAAAATGGCGACTATACACCTGTCATGTTATGGTTATAATATGCTAGGTTTCTGTCTTTAGGGCTATATTGCCCCAACTACAAATATATATACATATATATAATTTCAGTAAAATAAGTGTATATATGGTGAAAAAAACAATATAAGACAAAGTGCTACAATCACCAGCAATGTGGGTCACTCCACCTCACATAAATAAATGGTTAAAACAGTAAAAAATGGTGAGAGCACAGAGAAACAATAATTACCCTTATATTCAATATAAAACCTGTAAAAACACAATGGGAAAAACAGGCATAGGGTAATAACATACAAATAATATATGAATGAGTAAATACTTGAATAAACTCACATATTCATGAGCCACTTAATATGGAAGCTGGCTCAGACTAGGAACATTGAATGGATTAGTGAGGTGGTTGTTGTAATCCAACTGCTTAATTGCTTGCTCCTTCTTGCTTTACAAAATCCAGGATGCAGGATCTTTAATGAAAAACTTTTATTCGGTATAGCAGCAAAAAAAGACAGCAGCAGTAAAAATTAAAATTCAGCAATTCCACCTCTGCACACTAACGCGTTTCAGCCAAAGCCTTTATCAAAGTGTGAGTCCATTCAGTCAGTTCCATTTTTAAATAGGCAAATTTTCATTTTAATATGATCTATTGCAAAAAAATCCAGGCCTGCTGGGTCTCCCGCAGGGACATGTCAATACTGCTGATGTTGTTTATATGATCAATACTGCTGATGTTGTTTATATGATAACATGTCCCTGCGGGTTACAATATGTAGGGAAAACGTCTCGTTCATTAAAAATACGAATTAGGGAGCATATATACAACATCAGGAGAAGATTCCCTAACCATTGTTTATCTAAACATTTTTTGGAATATCATGATGGAGACCCAGCAGGCCTGGATTTTTTTTGCAATAGATCATATTAAAATACACTGGAGAGGGGGTGATAAGGATAATCTTTTAAGCAAAAATGAGATGAAATGGATTTTTAATTTGGATACACTTACACCGGGGGGATTAAACGTAGATTTTGAAATTAATACTTATATTTAACTATAATTATTTATTAAATCTATTGGAGATTATTTTAGGTTGTTTTATATTAATAAGATATTTTTTAATTCTAATTTTAGTAATACTGATTAATATTTTATAAATATTGATTACAATAAGTGTATTTTAAGTATGATGCATTCTCCCGATATACCTTTAAATGTGAATAAGAAGATTTTTCTATTTTGATCTTTTATTTCCCTTTTAAATGTATTCCCTCTTCTTTTGCCTCTCTTTTACCTTTTTTTAATCCTTTTTTTGAGAAAGAGAGAGTTTAACTGTTGCTAATATTCTACGTATTGCAATAAGAATATCTGACTATAATATTTGTTTTAATGTTATTGACAATATGTATGAAGTATGTTGCCAATAGGACTCTGATTATTGCAACATGAAAGACTGTTTAAGTGAATGGACTAGTTCGCTGTTCCTTTTCTTCAATGAACATGGAAGTAAATTGAGATCGTTAAGGATGCTAGGATGCCCAATAAAGTTGCAAAAAAAAAAAAAAAGGGGAGGAGCTTATTTCCGAAAAAAGGCGCGAAAATTTGCCTATTTAAAAATGGAACTGACTGAATGGACTCACACTTTGATAAAGGCTTTGGCTGAAACGCGTTAGTGTGCAGAGGTGGAATTGCTGAATTTTAATTTTTACTGCTGCTGTCTTTTTTGCTGCTATACCGAATAAAGGTTTTCATTAAAGATCCTGCATCCTGGATTTTGTAAAGCAAGAAGGAGCAAGCAATTAAGCAGTTGGATTACAACGACCACCTCACTAATCCATTCAATGTTCCTAGTCTGAGCCAGCTTCCATATTAAGTGGCTCATGAATATGTGAGTTTATTCAAGTATTTACTCATTCATATATTATTTGTACGTTATTACCCTATGCCTGTTTTTCCCATTGTGTTTTTACAGGTTTTATATTGAATATAAGGGTAATTATTGTTTCTCTGTGCTCTCACCATTTTTTACTGTTTTAACCATATATATAATTTGTTTTCCTTTTTCTTTTTTTTTTCTTTTTTAATTGACTTAAATATCAAACCTTTAGAAAGAAAGATAGCCCCTTTTATATAAGATATTACTTTTCCTTAATAATATATCTAAATTATTTTGTGTCTGTTTTGAGTAAGACTAATTAAGACAGAGAAGAGAGAGAAAAAATGAAAAGAAAAAAAATGTATAACTATTATGACTTAAAGGGGAATTCCTATTTTGGTTAAGTCTTCAGATGGATTGTTTATCGTGATGGTTCTATCACCATAAAAAATCTAATGTTCAGTGGGGAAGCCCCATTTGTGTGGGTTATTCTTGTTCCTTAGTGTAATGGTCATAACTCTGAATCGTTTTCGACTATTTCTTGTGGCTAATGATAGACCTGGGAAGGTGGAGATTGCAGAGAATTTTGGATCCTGAGGCTTATTATAACATATTTTCCTAATCAAGGCACCTTTTAATGCACGTTTCAAAAATTGCACGATCACACCCCTTGGGTCTGTTGTTTGAATATTATCTGGCTTTCGGATTCTATGATATTTCTCAAAAGGTGCTGATCCAATGTCCCGTGGGTCTAAGAATCGAGCCATATAATCCTTTAAGTACTGCTATAATTTCTCTGATTTGATTTCTGCTGGTATTCCTTTAATTCTTAAATTGCTTCTCCTTGATCTGTCTTCGATATCAATAGTTCAAAGTTCCAATTTCTTTACCTGATTCTTTAAAATAGAATTCTGAGTTTGGACTAATTGAATTTCTTCCCAGGTGTCTTTTAAGACGCCATCTTGCGTTATTACTTTCTGTTATAAGTCCAATACCTCTGATTTTAAGTCAGATATATGAGACTTAAAGTCATTGTGGATTTTTTCACACAGTTCCTCTAATGCTCCAAGTAAACTTTTCTAAGACACCATCTTATTTTTGGTAGATTGGGTCTCAAGTTGATCGGGAGAAATTGATCTTCTATTTTGTTCTTTATGAGGAGCTATATTCGATTTAGGTGTAAAAAAAGTACTTGGTGTTCTGGTTTTAGTTTTCTCTGTCTTATCAGGTCTGTCCATCTTGTGCGTTTTCTCTTTTCTTGGGAGCCGTTTTTTTTTTCAAAAGGTAGGATGAGGAAAACTAGTCTACTAATTAAGGTTTCACACTGATCTCCTTGTTCGGTGTGAAGCAAGATTTAAACTTGAGAGCGGTCTGTTTTTTCTTTTTTTTATCTCTCTATTTTTTTATTCTTATTTTTTTTTTGTTAAGTGTTTTATTCCTTTCCCCCTGTAGCGGAGAGTGTAAGAATATTAAATAGTTAACTTGTTTATATGTATTTTATGCTTTTATAAGGTTTATAACATGATTATTGCTGACTGAAGGGATATTGAATACTTAAAGTCAATGTACGACATTATTGCTGACTGTGACAGACTAAGGTATTTCTTCTATAGGATGTAAGACAATGCTAAATTTCAGGATGTCTTGCCCATTCCGATTTTAAGGATATTCTTTTCCAGACGTATGCAAAAGCTTATCTTTCCATTGTCAGAATAACGTAATACAAGGAAGTAATAAATCTTATAGTCTGTACTGTAATGAATGGCATATACCATGGCTAATGTAAGCAAACTATGTATAAAAGCCAGCTCTGGAATACACTCATTTGAGAGTCTTGTAAAGCTGTTGTCCGTGTGTTATTGCTTACAAATGATTCTCCATCAACGTTGATTATGGTGACCGAGGGATCGAGAACCGAGGGGATTAGAGTCCATTACAACATTAACCCTTTCAGCTTGGTGTCTAGAAGTGGGATAGATAGAAGTGGATCAGCAAAACCATTTGCGGTGAGTAGCCTTTTTGTGTCTTATTTGACGCTGATTGTCTATGACCCCCTTTGGTTCAGTAAGTCTGTATCCAGTAGATAGGAAAGGTGTAAGGACTCTAGTTATATTGAGACCATGAGAGGTCTCCGGTTTATATTGAGACTATAAGAGGTCTCCGGTTTATTAGACATTTGGTCTAAATATATAGGGTTTTGGTAACCCAGGTTAGTATCTAAGATAGATACAGGTTTTTGAGACCATAAGAGGTCTCCGGTTTCTATAGGTGTTCTGAGCAGCACGGTTTGTAGATCTTTAAGTATAACCCAAACTTCTCTTTCTCCCGGTCACCTTTGTTTGTCTTAAGTGTTCTTTGTGGGTGATTGTTTGTCTATATTGGGGACACACTTTGGTAAGTTAGTAGTGTCCCCACTCTGAGTCAGCAGTATGGGAAATGTGAGTTCATGTCCTGAGTGACCAATATATGTATGTATATGTGTGTGTATGTATATATGTGTATATGTATGTATATATGTGTGTGTATATGTATATGTGTATATATAAGATAGCAGTACTTTTAAACAAATGGAGGTTTTAAAAATACATAGGGATTAAGGAGAGAACGCAGGTAACTTGTTTTTCTTTGGTTTTTACCATATATTGGGGCTGATGTGTACTGTAGTCCTTGCTGCTGTCCAGTAGTGATGGGAGTGAGCGCAGGACTTATCTTTCTGCAAGATAGCAGTACTGTATATTAGAAAAGAAATGACTCATAGGTTGTACCTGATAGACCTACTTAAATCTTTTTGCTTTATTCTTTCTGTCGCATAGAAGTATAAGTTTATTACTCTGTTTTATTGTAAGTTATTTCACATGGGAACTGTGTGCCTGGTATGATTGTTGCTTTAAAAATACCATAAGCCCACTACACTTATTATGAGAGTGGGATAAGTGTAAATGTGTTGCATTGTTTGCATGATGAGCTCAGTATATTTTATAACTGAGACAAAAAGTCACTTCATTAGTATTTTAAAGTTAATTCCCCATCTGGGATTAATTGTATAGAAACACCAATCAGCACATCTTCCCTGCCCTGTGTGTTTGTTGCAAAGGATCCATACTGTAAATATAATTTATGTTTGAAAATAACAGAGCAACATTTACATTTTCAGCGGTCCAACACATGCTTTATTTTGCACTGTAAACTAACCTTTTTATTGCAACAGGTTCCTTTTAAATGATCCAGTGTAATAACTACTGCTTGTGTCTTCTATGTCTCACATTATGTGTTCTTTTAAATTGTGGTATATAGCCTGAATCAGACATCATGGACAAAGGTTTTTTACCTGTGTTACTAAGGGCTCTTGGAGACTGACCGGTCTAAAGGTTTGCCATGCCTTTAAAACATGGTATAGTATACATTTTTTAAGTCTCTGAGAGTTCTGAAAGATTCAGGTGAAACCATGTCTGTTTAATCTGGTCCAGATGTTTGTTCAATTTCTGTAAGATTTAAGTTGATGCAGCATCATCTCAGATTAGTTAATGGTAGTTTTATACAAATAGTTGAGTTATGAGCGCGCTATATAAATGGATCCTTTCTTTAAATACAATACTATAGTAGATTAAAGTAATGAAGTTAATTAAGAAAATGTATACATAAGAATCCCTAAAATAAATCTAAACTAAAATTGGTATACCTTCCAATAATATGTTCTGAATACAGCTGTTTATTCTGTGTAAATGGTGACTGTGATAATGTGTGATAAGTGTGCAGTTTAACTTGAAAGTGGTTTAATTTATATGTTGCTGTATTGTTTTAAATTATATGTGAATCAGTTTGTCACAGTCTAGTGATACTGATAAGAATGACAGCCAAATAACCTAGCAAATAACTGTTTTATTAGTTGTTGAATACTAGCGTTTTGGCCAAGAATAGTTGGAGATTTGGAGGTGTTAGTTTAAGATTGCTTTTATATTGTGTCTATCCGTGTTTCCTAGGAGGGAGACAGAGTGTGTAGTTGTGTGCCCATAAATGTGATTTCTGTATTGGCATATCTGCTGGGTACCCATTATGTGTTTCTACAAAGATATTGTTTTATGAGATGACTAATATTACATGGGATGCTGAGTATGAGTTATATGGTTTGAAATGAATTGGTGATTATGAGCTTAGTACTTCAGTAAGATGTGCTAAAATTTGGAACAAGGTGGAAGCTGAAATGTTGGGATTATGGAAGAATAAGCAGTCTATATTCACTGCTTTGGCATATAAGCAAGATGCAAAGGAAGAGATTGGTAATATGATTTTTGTAAAGAAATTTTACAAGTGTTGGAAGGATGAGGCAGGTTTGATGTCTGGAGATGATATAGATCTCTTTAAAATACAGTCATGCCTTGGTAATATGTTGCCACAGTATTCTTTGCTTGTGAAACAATTGATCAGACTGGGCCAATTTGGATAGCTCAGATTTTCTTACCAAGGTTATAGAAAAGGAAAATGCAGGTTGTTTTGAATTAAGAAAAGATTTAGGAAAGTAAGGTTGCTTATTATGCTCAGGGATTGCAACATATTATGTCCAGCTACACAGGATGAGAGCAAGGATGGGATGGAGCACATAAAGCCCGTGGAAGGGGTGGTCAAAGAGGGGCAAGGGGATGGAGACAGGGAAATCAGGGTTATAGGGGCAGGGGTAACCAAGGAGGAATAGACAGGAACACTTGTTTCAACTGTGGCCAATATGGCCACTGGAGGAATGAGTGTCCACACCCCAGGAAACCCCAGGAAACCCCAGGAAACCCCACACACCCCAACAACCCCACAATTCTCAAAATATGCCCGGTAGGCAAGAACAACACCAGACCCACTCCCAACACCACTGGCCAGCATATCGCTTAGTTCAGGACTTTAGAGCCCTGAATAGTTTAATTGTGCCCATTTCACCCATTGTCCCTGATGTGACATCCCTCATTACAGCCATTCCACATGATGCCACTTGCTTCACTGTCATTGATTTAAGTAATGCATTTTTTTCTATACCTATTGATCAAGAGACACAGCTACTTATGGTTTTTACTTTTGAAGGCTGTCAGTTTACCTGGACACGCTTACCCAAGGCTATGTGGATTCCCCAGCTGTTTATTCGCTGGTACTCCAACATACTCTAAAAAAAACAAAAACATGGACCACCGGTCATGGTTCCGTCCTTTTTGCAAAATGTTGATGATTTGTTGTTATGTAGCCCTAGCTATGAGGCAAGCACTGTGGATACTGTCAGCAACTGTAGGTCACAAGGTTGTTAAACACAAAATGCAATTGTGTAAATCAAAGGTTGAATACTTAGGTTTTGTTCTGGCTTTAGGCACCAGACAATTGAGTCCAAAACGTATTGAGGTCATTCAGAGGATTCCAACACCCACTACTCGGAAGGAGTTGCTCACCTTCCTCGGCATGATTAATTACTGCCACCAATGGATCCCTGAATGCTCCCATTATGACTCAATCCTAAGGGAGGCTGTACGTTCTGACAGCCCTGAAAATGTCTGCTGGTCACCAGACATGCTAGCTGCATATATTGCCCTTACAGTTGTTATTGTGCAAGCCCAGGCTTTAGGACTACCTGTGTATTGTAAACCATTTCATTTGTATGCTTGGGACAATTGTAAAACCATGGCCGCGGTCTGTGCACAAGAGCAAGGAGGCGGTATGCGTCCCATAGCATTCTTTTCCAAAGTAGTTCGAGCTCCGGTACAGGGTATGCCGGCGTGTCTCAGAGCATTGATAGCATGTGCAATGGCTGTTGAAACTGCTACTACTATCACACTAGGGCATCCTACAATACTTCATGCCAGTCACCAGGTCACTCAGCTGACAAATCTCACCACACAACACATGACAGCCCAGCGCTTCAGTGGTTATGAGATTCTTTTTTTTTTTTTAAATACCCAGAATCTGTCTTTTGGATTAAACAAGGTTTAGAGAAAGATCAAAATGATCTGTTCTCTAAAGAGGGGAGAATAGGCATACTTGAAGAATAGGCATACTTGAAGCAAGCTGATTTATTTTCAGTCAGGCACATAGCAAGCACCATTCAATTCTTCATGAATTCATTTTATATTAGGAATCTCAGGCAGCATGTACAGTCTTTTGTAAGATCGTGTGAACGCTGCTCTTTTTACACACTTACAGATTGATTTTATTCATGTATCCAAAATTGGTAAGAAACAGCAATACTTACTGGTCATAGTTGATCAGTTTAGTAGATGGCATGATGCCTTTGTGACATCTAGGGAAGATGCTAGTGAAGATTATTGTTACTGAAATTATTCCCCGGTATTGCTGCCCTCTGTAGATTGGCTCTGATAATGGCCCGGTTTTTGCAAGTGGGGTTGCCCAGGAACTTGCTAAATTCTTGCAAATTACCTGGCAGTTTCATATACCCTATCATCCACAGAATACAGGGGTAGTTGAAAGGATGAATAGGACTATTAAGGAAAAGCCCAGAATTTACCCAGGAACATGGGTAAATTGGACAAGATATCTACCAGCTATTTTAGCTGAGATAAGAATATATCCCCACAAGGTGAATTGTTGATAAAAACCGAATGGTATGTATGACAATGTTTCTTCGCAGTTTTCCCTTACCTTCACAGGAACCTACTCATTCATACCAGCCCGGTGACAAGGTGTATATCCGTCAGCTGAACAGGACCAAGAAAGGAGGATACCCTTTTGGACCACCTGCTACTGTGATTGCTGTACCCAGAACCGCTGTCCTCACAGATTCCCACGACATCTGGATTCACGCATCCCGAGTGAAGCTGTGTCCAAAGAGGGGAACAAAGGAAGACAACACCACTCCTCGCTCGGAAACAGAAGAATTTCTCCTCAGCGAAGCATCATGGCTTTTACACCATATCGTAGATTGAGAGGATCATACGTACCTGAGACCAAGATTATGTTGTGCGCTATGCTTTCTGGAGTTGTTATACTCCCTCTGATATTGTTCCTTGAATGCCATTATGAGTACAAGTCAATGGCAAGTTCTGGAAAAAGACTCTGACATGATGAACAATTCTTCAATACCCCAGCCCAATTAGGCCTTAGCCCCTCATCTAGCATTCGTCACACACGCCCCCTCAAGAACCTTTCTCCACCACCTTTCTATCAGCATGTAATATGCAATCATTCATTTACTGAACGCATTTGGATGAATTGGACAAATAGTAACCCTTATAAGTACCAGTTACCCATATGAAATGTGTCTACAGCTAATGAAGCCGATGCATTATGTTTGTTTGAAGGTTCACAGAAAATTGTTAGATCTTATAACGCAGAAATGTGCACAGTTAAGGTTGCATATCAATGTAAATAGACAGGCCTTATTACTTTTAATAATGATTATATAATTGGTATCATTAATTGGAGAAGGGGACAAATGTTAGTCATTATGAACGACACTACAATTGAGAACTATACACTACCTTATATTTTTACACCTTATTACTGTCCTTTATCCACTACCATAGAACCAAAAGTCAAACACGACACACACACACACACCTATTTCGTCCACATGTATTAATACAACTGCCTTCTTACAAGCTGTACATGTGTCATTAAAAGTCACTACTCTTGTTGTAACATTATGTAATACAACAAACAAAGGCAGAAAAGGGAATGGTATGACACACTGTTAGGAGGTGTTGGAACCACTATGGGTATACTAAATAGTTATAGATATGGAGACCCTCAAGAATAAGTTAAACACAGCCAGCATGCATATAGGGACTGGTTTTCATGCTACTGCAAATTGGGCTCCAATTGTTGTTAAATCACAGGTTATAGGATTGGATTTAGATAAATCAATGTATAATTATTTAGATAATTTAACTGTTGCAACTATGAAATTCACTACAGATCTCGGTAACTGGAGT